TAACCATAGTAAGAATTATATTGCTGTTGGTTTGAGAACAGATAAAGCTGATCTCATTTGACTGATACAGTTGACAGTTACAGGCAAATAGCTAAACAGAATTACAAGTTTGGTTCTCAAATCAAAACTTTACAGACTAATGTAGGGTCATCTAAATTGTACCCAACAACTATAAGATGCAAAGTTCAATTTGCATTCCCTCACATCTCATTCTATTTGCTAGCTTTAGCAACCACATTTTCATTCTATTCTTCATCTTCCACTCTCAGAATTCCTTTGATTTGATAGCTATGCATATGAGAAGACTACACATGCCTAATAGTTTATGAAAAGAGCTAACTGGATTGAATTCAATCAATAAATGCTGACATGGTTTATTTTCAACAGCTGCCTAAAGATTTATATTTATTTATAGTTAATTAGCAAAATACTCGTGCAACATTGGACAACTCAATTATTTGCCAGAGTTTGAGCCCAAGTTTACTTTATTTGAATCCTGTCCTGTTCACCAGAATAGAGAACATCAGACATTTCTGGATGGGAGCGTCACATCTCAGTCTGAGAAACTCACCCCAATGCTTTTAAAATTCCAAATTTGCTAATTTCTTTCAGTCATGGAAGACTCCCTGAATTGAAAATGAGAGCCAGTTTGCTTTAGTGGTTAAATCATCTGGCTAAAAACTGGGAGGCACGAGTTTTGGGGTAAATAATAGAAGGAAGAAATATTAGGTATGCTAGCCATCTTGAATTATTTATAAAAATAATGAAGATGGAACATAAATAAAATAAAATTTAAAAATAATAAACTGTTCTAGTGCTGTAAAACCACTGGTCTCAACCTCATCTTCTGTGCTTGGATTTTAGTGTTACATAGACTATACACTACCATTTTGTCTTAATGCATATGAACTGAAATAGCTGAAATTAGACATTGTTATTTTGAAAATAAAAAGCCCTTTGACACATTTTACCTCAGAGGAAGATTATTTGATTATTTTTTTAAAATGTGGTGCATATTTGCATATCTCCAACAAAGTCTGCTTACTGTCTAAAATCTATCATATTATTTGGAAATAGAATGTATTAATCAATTGAGTTTATAGACAAACAATGAATGCAGAGCATTAGGTTAATTACGGAGGAAAATTGTGAACACAGGAGAAAATAATATTAGCTACTCAAGTCAGTTATAGGCTATAATGCGGTATAGCTTTGTTGAAGCATGTTTTACTGTATATGTGAAATGTAGGTGGGAATTGACTTAGCTTTGCATTATTACATTTAAAACTATTATTCATTAATCTTATCATTATGGCTTGAACACTTAGACTTTAGGCTGCCATAATCCATAACATTCATGCAGAAAAATGTGCAAGTGTACCTATGAAGTTATTTATTTAAATCTACATCTTTCTATTTATCAATCAAAAGACCTACTGCAGTGTTCTTTAATCTGGTGCCCATCAGAAATGTTGGACAACAGCTCTCACACTCCCCAGTTAGGATGACTACGGTTGCTGAATCTCTCCAACAGATTTCCATAGACCACAGGTATTACTGGAAAAGCAATATCAATTTCCAGATATAACTTATTTCATATACTTACAAAGCCACCTTAAATAAGTTTAAAACCAGACTCTTTATTTAACAAAGGATATTGTGTATGTTATCCTATGAATACTTACCTGGATCTTGTGGGGGCAAACAGCAGCTTGTCTAAAACAATTTAATAGTTCTTAGTGATGCAGATAAGCAGATGGTGAACTCCTAAACCTCCACATATATTCCTAAACTTGATGGCAGGAGTTTGCAACCTTATACTATCCAGATGTGTTGGATTTATAACATTCAGTTAAATGTTAGATTTATAACAATTAGTTAAAGGGTACTAGGATAGGGAACAATGCCATTGATGTTATCTTTGTTTTTATTTTCAATAAAAGTATCCATTGTCACAGCATGAATACTGACAGTAGTCTTTAGTTCCTAGCATTCTTGTATTTAATTTAAACACCTTTATCTCCCTTCTCCTTTTCCCCAATACTCAGAGCCATTTAATACTCTAATTAGAAATATAACTCACCACTGCAAACAACAAAGGCAAATGCATTGTTTTACACTGTCTCATCACATGATGGTTTCATTAAGTGGGTTGTTCACATATTGTTTAGTTGTTTAAATAATTAATTCCCTATAACAGAACAGTTACAGTGACTAGTTTGTTCATTTTATTTCAAAGTATTGAAATAGTATTTATTTCAGAGTGAAAGTATATACTTGCTTGCAAGATGAGCCCAAGAATCTGAATCTGCTTTTATGTTGCTGTAGCAGAAGTTCAAATATTGTCTGGCTGGTAACAAAAATCTATCTGGAATGTAAAGAAGTTATATTACACAAGTTATGTGGAGCAAATGCTCTGCTTTTATAAAGAATAAAGAAGATGTTACTTTATATATTTTTTCTGATTAGTTTTTATTTCTTGCAAATGTTAGTATATCAGGCAATAACAAATTAATATTGCAGGGCAATCTTTCTTAAAGAGGTTCCCTCTATATATTTCAGGACTTCAGCTCCTATAAACTTCATCAGATGGGAGTTGTATTACAAAAACTTAGAAAGGTTTATTTCACTAAATTATCTCAGTACATGGATATTCTTTAAAGAGTTATTCAAATTACCAATTTCCAATTGTCTTTGTTCCCCAGCAGGGGTGGGTTCTAAAATTTTTTACTACCGGTTCTGTGGGCATGGCTTATTTTGTGGGTGTGGCTTGATGGTCATGTGACAATTATTTAGGATTTAGCAGAGGTACTGGTCTACCAGGCTTTTAACTGCTTGCAGAGCTGTACCGATCTACCCATTAATTTTTGCAGGCACTGGTCTACCCATTTATTTTTGCAGGCACCGATCTACTCATTTGTTTTCTTTTAACACTGATCAGCTGTAGGGCGGCCCTTTGAAGCTCTGCGGCAAGAGTTTAAACAGTTTTTTTTCCCTCTAGCCATCAGCTGGGACTCAGGAGGCAGAAATAGATTAGGGGTGGGGCCAAATAAAAGGTAAGAATAATGCAGGGGGTGGGTAGGTGGGGGCGAGAACCAGTTCAGTGACATATCGTTACCGCTACCGGCTTGGCGGAACCAGGCGGAACCAGGAGGAACCCACCACTGTTCCCCAGGAATTCAGATCCAAGATCTACTTACCAGATCCCATTCTTAACAGAAAGGATAAGAAGTTACATTTAGAAAATGGGAAAATGCTATATTGTGTGCCTACCTGATCACTTTCTATAGACTGGAAAGGAAACAGGGATTATAAGAGGAAGTTCCCTTTGACTTTGCATAGAATCCTTGTGATCCTAATCTTCAAGACATCCCACTTTAATTAGAACTGTTTCCCCTCTTACTCTAGGAATGCAGTGGATATTTTGTTTCTTACGTTTTGCTTTACTTTTCTTAATGGGCATGTTCTATCATGTAATATTATTCTTGGGGAAAAAAGACAAATAATGAAATCAAAACCTAGGTCAAGCTTTTTTTTCAAAGAAGTAAACCTAATAAGCATCTGATTTATAATCTGAAAAATGCAAAAAAATATATTTAGGCATTGATAATTTTAGGGACTTGCTGTGCATATCATTCCACTTCGGAGGAACAGAGTATCCTTTGAACCCTCTCTGTTAAACCCAGGATGATGAAACTGAGTCAAACTCAAAAAAGCCATAGTGATGCACACATTCAATAAATATACAGAAGAATTTATCTTATGACTTTGACTTTCTTGGGAATAATATGGAGTAAGAATCAATCAAAGAAAGGGACTGAATTACTTGGCATTAAATTCACAAATTTTCTGGAGAAATATTTAAACTAAACAATGGGGACAGAAAGTTAATTGATACAGAAAATTTCTGTCCCCAGCAATGTAGAAAGAATGGGGTTATCAGTGCATCTAAGCCCTGGTCTAGAGGACTAAATAGGAAATATGGTGGTTTTACTTCAAAATATTCTGTAGTCACCAGTTATCTTGTTTTTTTAACTTGTTCATTTAAAAATCCCACATACAAAACTGACAGAGAGCAATGTCCAGCATTAAACTGTGCCTGAAGCATCACAGCAACAAGTGTTTCATTCTGGGATACAGAAGATGAATCCTTATAGGTTCAAATAAACTAGTCCTATATATTTCAGTCATCTGGACACAAAAAGCAAGTGACAATTTGGACAATTGCAGTGGCAGAATTAGGTTATCCTTGGAAGTATTTAACTCTGGAAGGATTGTGCATTGTGGATTGGTGAGTTCAGATTCAATCAAAACATGATGGAATAAATAATTATTTTGTTGAAAATAAAATAAGAAGGATCTTTTTCCTTAATTCCCCAGCACCTATTTTTTATTTATTACAGCTTTATCCAGCTTTTATTACTTTATAAGTAACTCAAGGCAACAAACATACCTAATCTTCCTTCCTCCTATTTAACCTACAACAGCAACCCTGTGAGCTTAGTAGGACTAAGAAATAGTGAGTAAGATCTGAGGGGCACAAATCCTATCCACTTGTTGGATGGAGGAAGCAGCTTTATTGGATTCTAGGGGTTAGCTCCACTAACACAGCAATTTTATGTCGTGCTGTTCAATGGTTGTTTTAACTGAACTTGTAATCTGTCTAAACCTATATAGCAGATAGGCAGGATAAATACATTCGTTAAAAGCAGTGTTGCACTACATTAAACTGTGCATTTTCTGCGAGTTCAAACGAACAGAAATAAAGGTGCAATTGTTACTGAAGATCCAACTACACGGAAAACAGTGCCGAAGGAGAGTTGGGATTCAGGTGCAGGAAAGGAGATCGAGGGAAGAGCCGGGACTGTGGAGGGAGAAGAGATGATATTCACTTAGCAATTAATGTTGATAGGGGACGAGGGTACATTTTGGGTGCCTCTTCCACCCAACGCGTGGCCGACTTCGCTCCCGACTGGGCGTGGGGCGCGAGAGGGACCGGGGGCGCGCGCACGGCGGTCTTGACTTCCTCCTCAATCCGCGGCTCCTTCTTCTCCGGGGTGCCCGTCTCCAGTCTTCCCGGGCGTCGAGGGGAGGCGTCTCCGGTGAAAGCAGCTCAACTGGCTCATTCCTCCTTTCTTTCTTTCTTTCTTCCTTCCTTCCCGCCCTTCGTCCATTGTGCAGCCGGCAACTCCAGCACTCCCACCTGCTGGCAGCGGCGAGGCGAAGCAAGCGACGTCCCCCCCCCTCCGTTTCATTCACCCCTCTGCGCGCGTATGTCCCCAGCTGAACCGGGGAGAGCCTCCTCCTCCTCCTCCTCCCGCCAGAGTGCGGAGTCGCCTCCTTGCCCTTCCTTCCTCTTCCCCAGCAGCACCTTCCTTCAACCGAGGCAGCCTTGCAATCAGCAGCGCCATCCCCGCCTCGCTGCTTTTCCTGCCCAGAAGAGCCGCCGCCGCCGCCGCCGCTGCCGCTGCAATTCCCCGGGAGTGCAAGCGGGGGAATAGGGGCCGGTGGTTGGACTGCCGCCGCTGCCGCCTTGGACTGTAATGTACTCCCCGTTGCTGTTGTTAGTGCCGCAGCCGCAGCAGAAGCAGAAGCAGCAGCCGCAGCCCTGAAGGAGCCATGCCGGGCTGGAAGAAGAACATCCCCGTCTGCCTCCAAGCCGAGCAGGAGAGAGGTGAGTGAGCGCGCGCAGGGGGCGCAAAGCGGGGGCTTCGAGGGCGCCGCGGCAGGGAAGGGCTGAGGTGATCAGGACCCCCTTCCCTCGGCGCCCCTCCCGGCCCCCCTCCCTCAGGTGCTCTCCGCCTTGTGCCGCGCTCTCCTTCCCCTCCAAGAGGCAGGGAAGCGAGGCGGGGAGGCAGGCTGCCAGCAAACGGGGGAGTGTCTCGGCAAAGGCTCCTGTGGGCTGCTAAAGCAGGAGGGGGCGCCACTTTCTCTTCCGCGAGTTAACTTTTCTTTGCCTAGGCGCCTTGCCTCGCCTTGCCTCGTCCCTTGTTTCCTACGGGGCGGGGAGAAGTGGGTGCTCCTTGAGACAAATGCTCTATCGGGCCTGGCCTCCCTCTCTCGATACCATTCATCTCCTTGAGCGGTCTACGGACTCGGCAAAGTTCAAGCCTCTGCTGGGGGATGGTTGGGGGGCTCTAATAGCTTCCATACAATAGTGAAGACGGACAGAGAGAAGCTGCGTTTGGTTAGGGAATTGCAACGAGGCTTCCAAATTGTCCTGATTTTGGGGGTGGGGGAGTGACGAGGGAGGAGAGTTTTAAGTACCTCCGTTCTGGTTTGTGATTTTCCTTTCAAACGGATCAGCCTTTGGTTCAGGGCATCTGCTCTGATACTCTCCAACAGGGTGCTGGGCAAATTATGGATTCTGAGATTCTTGGCCCTTGGCACACTCCTTGGGGTTTTGCTTCCTATAGGAGTAGATTTTGTAGCAAGGAAATAATGATTTTGTGCTTTTCTGAAAGTATTCAGATTTCTAGATTTTCCACCATTTCAAGGAATCCCTCTTTTTTTCAGATATTCAGGATCCTAAATGTTTGATTTTTAAAGTTGCACCAGAGAACCTTGGAGAAACCATGCTCCTGTTTTTGAGCTGGAATCTTTCTTGGCCCATCAGGCAATAAAAACTTGTCCTGAAACAAGAGATTACTCTGTATCCATAGCCTTAAAGTAGTCAACAGAAAATCCAGATAACAGAAAATTTACAGATTTCAGTTAATAGGCTCTACTTAACTTTTTGAGTGTTATGGAGTTAATGTGTTTTATTAAGCAGGTTAGGGAAGAATGTTCATTAACTGCTATTATTGAGGTATGTGCTTCATCCATGTTAAAAACTATCTGAAAAGAAAGACCATGTGTTGGTGTCAGAAAGAGTAAAAATAGGTCTTGATTAAATTTGCAAAACTATCATTTATCTCCGAAGACTGTATATTGTATTGCTTATTCAGAAATCATGCAAAATACCTACAAAAAATTACATATAGAGCTCGATCTTCAGGAAAAATTGGAATTGCTAAAACTTTTTGAAAAAAATGTTTCATAATTTATCCCTACTGTAACAATAATAGCTGCAGTGTGATTTACTGAATGGTGGGGAAGGTTGTAAGCCAATTTATTGAAAGACAAATTGATTGCAGCAAATATTGTTTGTAAATATGTGGTTGCTTTGGTTATTTACTGCATTGTATAATTGTAACATATTGGCCTTGATGTTTTCTGGTAATTTTTCAAAATCAACAAACTTTTGAATGTATTGTTCATTCAAACAGCTTTTCAGAAGCCACTTGGTTTACTTTATACAAACTGTGTGCTTGTAATATTTATGTGTGTGAGTGCTGCATAATTTAGGCTGTGGTATAATATATCCGCAGGCTTAAATATACTACTGATCAAAATGTGCAGTTTATTTAACATGGGGGATCTTTGGTTTGTAAGACAACCATTTGTCTGAAATGGTATAGGGTTTCCTTCCTGAGCAGAGGGTTGGACACTGAAAAACCTCCAAGGTCCTTTCCAACTCTGTTATTCTAAGATGTGACTATAATGAGATTATTTAAATTTCATTTATAGGGTAATCAATGAAATCCTATTTGTTTCTACCCAAACTAAATGTATTGAATTTTAATCCATATTGGCAGCCTAAAATAAATTAAATGCAAAAACAATATGTATTTGAATGAAGTTAAATCATTTGGAAAAAACGGATGATCGTAATGTCACAAAATGATACAGCTAATTTTTCATGGAGAAAAATATTCCAAAAGATTTCTATAAAGTAAAGGCAATAAATCAATTTTGTGCATAAAAATCAGGGTCGATAATACTGTATTTTATTTTTGTCTGTATTCTTTTCTTATTATGGTAATGAAGTTCAACAATTGGTTTGGCTATATTTTTATATGTTTTTTTGAACTAATAGGTATAATCTTGTTTGCTTAATTTTTGTTTTGTGTTTATGCAATTATAGCACATTTTACCAATTTTTGTTATTTTTTTCTCCTTGGTATAAATGAATAGTTTGAGATTTGAGATAGTTCCATTTATAATGCTCCATCTTCACTAATCAGTATAGTGCTGTTTTAGATTATTTTTTCCTCTTTCTACCAAAATATAATATTCCCTATATAAGGAATAGATAAAATGATCAAAATACATAAATTGGTGTGAATTGGGATCTGATGATGAGAGAAGATATTTAAAAATCCCTCAGAAAAATAGCTCGAGTTTACATGAAATGAAGATCCAATTTCATTGTGGTGTTTGTTGACTTAGAAAGCAGTTATAAATACAGTTAAATTCTGATTCAGAGCCAGTTTGCTTATAACTCCTTTAAAGCGCTCCATGGCATAGGGCCTAGCTATCTCCGAGACCGCCTGCTGCTACCAACGACCTCCCATCGACCCGTGCGCTCCCACAGAGAGGGCCTCCTCGGGGTGCCATCAGCCAGACAATGTAGGCTGGTGACCCCCAGGGGGAGAGCCTTCTCTGTGGGGGCACCTACCCTCTGGAATCAGCTCCCCCCAGAGATAAGGAGAATCCAAGACCTCAGTGCCTTCCGTCGCGCCCTTAAAACCCATTTATTTAAACAAGCCGGGCTGGCTTAAGATAAAATTTTTAACTGTTTTTAAATGTTTTAAACGTTTTTAATTGGTAAATGAGTTTTAATTGGGCCAAATTTATATATCTTTTAATTGTTTTTAATATTTGTTCTGCATGTTTTTTTAATCTGGCTGTACACCGCCCTGAGTCCTTAGGGAGAAGGGCGGTATAGAAATCCAATATAAAATAAATAAATAAATAAACTCCCTCTGCTGTTAGTACATAATATTTTTATTCTGAAGATCAGTTTTAGAAATCAAGCCAACTTGTTTTATTCAAAGAATAAGTATTCCTTATTTCAAATATATGTAGATGTATTGTGGGCAATAGATATACAATAAACTGAAATAATGAAAAAAATGTGTTTAACTGGTGCTTGGAAAAAGGTGTCTGAAAGAGAGAATGAATTCCATCCATATCATTTTCAATAGAACAAATTCAGTCAGCTGGATGAAAGTACTGTATTGAGTTGCATTTCATTGTTAACACATAAGAAAGAGCCCTAAATAATTCAACAGCCAGCTTGAAGTTCACACTACTAAAGTTCTTTTTCTCATAATAATTTGTAATCACTAACTATGCCTTGAAAAAAATGCTTATGCATTTACATAACATTTGCCAATTCATACTGAAAATTAAAAAATTAAAAATAATACCAAATATATAATAATAAAATGAAGATATATATATTTACATTTTAGTCTGAGTTTAACTTATTGTAGAACATTTTTTCCTGAACAAAAATAGGGAGGAAAATACTATTCTGGCTCTATAGTTCCAAACTGAATCTTTTAATTGAATTAAGTATATATTTGTGTGTGTATATTCCTATTAGATTTTAGACCAAAATATTTAAGATCACAGCCTCAATTCTAATTCAATAATTTAAAGATATTTGAAACAATTTTAATCTTTTTTTTTTAATTTGGAAAGGCGAATAAATATTTTTTAGAAAAATGCTGTGCATAAAATATTTGAATTATAGTGACTACTGTATGTCTGTAATTTAGCTACTGGGATAAAACCTGCCTGCTTCACAAATGACATATTTATTTATTAAACAGATTTATATAGCTGCCCAACTCACACACAGTGCTCTAGGCAGCATATAATATTAAAACTCTACAGTTTAAACAACACAGCATTAACAACACAATCGGACAAGCTTCTTGAGCAGCTCTGAATGGGTCCCCAAGCCCACTGACAAACTGTCTTCAAGGCCTTGTGGAAAACCAACAAGGTGGCAGCCATTCTTATCTCTGGGGGAATAATGTTCCAAAGGCAGAGAGCCACCACAGAGAAGGTCCTTTATTTAGGTCCCACCGGATGTACAGTACTTCCTGTTGGGAACTGCAACATGCCCTGCCTTCCTGCTCTGATGGGTTGGATAGATTGGGGAGAGGCAGTAATTGGGGAGTCGTCCTTCAAATAACCAAGCCATATAAGGTTTTAAAGATGATAACCAGCACTTTGAATTGCACCTGGAAGCAAATAGGCAAGCAGTGCAGTTCCCCCAAATGAGGTGACACATGTACACATTTGTCCAAAATTCTGAGGGCTACTGTATTTGGAACCAACTGAAGCTTCTGGATGCTTTTTAATGCATCCCCATGAATAGCATGTTACAATAGACCAAATGGTGACCAAGATGTGAATGTATGTGAGAAGGGCCCTTTGGTCCAGAAATGGGTGTAACTGGCATACATTATGCAGTTGTGCAAAGACTGTCCTGGCCACAACTGTCACCTGCTACTAAAGCAGGAGTCACAAGTCCAAGATAACTCAAATTATGTACCAGGTCTGTCTGGGGCAGTGCAACTCCATCCATGACCAAGGATGGTGTAATTCTCCCAAGTCCAAAGGAGCCCTGGACTTAAAACCACTCCTTCTTGCCAAAATTCAGTTTTAACCTGTTGCTCCCAATCCAGACCTCAACAGCCTCCAGGCACCAGGAGCTTAAACTTAACTTACCACAGACTGAGATGCTCAATGAATAACATAAGCTGCTGATAATATCTCATCCCTGCTCTCATTCAGCAGTTTCATGTAAGTGTTAAATAGGAGCAGAGAGAGCAC